CCTCCTGCTCTTCAGCGTCTGCTGGCTTCTACTCTACAGGCTGCTCTGCTCTGCTCCTGGAACCCTCCGGACGGCTCCCGCTGCATGTTGTGGAGAAATCATCAGACTGGTTTCCACTCCTTCCTCTAGACACGGACTGAAATAATAACCAGGTCAGTGATTCAATGCTGGTTATAGTTCCCCTTCTGAGCCTGGTGATCACTAACCTTAGCGTCTGTTTCTCCTGAGAATCCAGCAAGCCGTCCCAGCTGATGAGTCGCAGTTATCAGAGCTGTCAATAAACTATTTATCTTTATACAAACTTGTTCTGTCTGCCTGAATTCTTTTCATTTTCCTGAGTCTTGACAGATTAGAAACATCTTTGAGAGAATTTTAAAGATAAAATTCCCATTTCTATATAAACAAAGAAGCTTTTTTTCTATATTATGGAAAAAGTAAGGTAATAAATTGAGAAGGGATCAGCAAACATTTCCAACAACCTCTCAGTCCAAGGATTTTATATTCCTATATTATTAGAGATGGAGTTTCATGATCAAATATTCATTCATACTAGATGGTAAACAAAAGCCACTTAGAAGTATTAATAGTTCTGTTCATTTAGATGGAAATGGATCAAGTGATCAAATAAATACTCTGCCAGCTTTTATCCCAGACGGATTAACAGTTGATTGTTTGGAGAACCAAAGAAAAGATAAAAACATCATTAATAAACACAAAAGATGAAAGCATTGAACAGGATGTTTTACTCTGAAAATATTCAGTTAATCAAGAGAAAATGCACTAAACAAGTATTCCTCTTTTATTTGTCCAGATTCTGTCCTGAACATGGTCTCTATGCTGCCCTCCTGTGGTGCCAGGTTGTAATTACACATTGTTCAGAATTTTAGAACAAGGAAATCTATTGATGGTAAAAAAGGAAATCTGAGTGACTGGTTGTGTTGAAGAAGGTGGATGCTGTCAGAGTGTAGATCTATAGATGCTGATAATCAGAGTTTTAGTGTAAAGCAGGGAGTAGGTGAATCCGCCTCAGAGCTAAAAACATCCTCAATTATACAAACTCTAAGGCTGTAATTATGGATCATGATTTGTTTAAATGTTACTATAATAAATCATTGTGTAGTAAAAGCTGTCATTCAGCATCAGGGTGTAGATCTAGAGATCCTGATCACCCGAGTTAAGCAGGGAGGACCGTCTGTTAGGATCATTAGCTCTGCTCTGACTCTCTAAGAGCTGTTTGGTTTTAACTTTGAGAATCTCTTTCCTTCTCATATTGATAGAGGAAACATCTGAATGAGACCAGGAGACATATTTGTGTTTCAAACTAGGAAGAAGTTAAAGGTAAAGTGGTGGACGATCTATTTCCAGGTGGATCATCTCAATAATTTGTCCTCCTAACTGTCAATCATACTGGTGATGTGTTTCCGTAAGGCCGTCCTACGTTCTCATCCCCATTTTCACTGACCGCTGGTGAGAAAAAATTCTATTCAGCTTATTTCTATAGCTCCAATTCACATCACGTCATCTCAGGTCACTTTCCAGTTCAACAGATCATCCAGTCAGATTGATTCAAAGTTTTCTATCTCAGGAAAACCAGCTGATTGCATCGACTCATTGACTCTTCAGCAATCCCTCACACTAAGCAT